CTGCTGTAATACGACCGAGTTTATCCCATTTTTATATCCAAATCAATATCCTTGCGAAAGCTCTTATATTATTACCGCTCCAGTAAAATTCTAAATGAATACTGGTAGAGTCAAATAATCGCGAAGATTCCAATAAAAATTTTGTTTTCATAAAAATATACAATCGAATCCCTACCAATATCCCTGCTTCGGTAAAATTCTAATTGAGTATACGAGCAATAAACCCTCGTTTAGTTAGAATCCTGAGCTTAGATATCTGAAAAGTGGGTTCGAAACTTAGCAGGTCTATTTTGCTCCTGCTCTGTCACCTGATCCTCTGCTAAGGACGTTCGCTGTAGAAGCAAAGAAAATTCATAGGATTCAACGTAACGTTCTATGAAATGGTGTAATCTGATATACGAGGAACGTGTTGTCGAAGCGATGAAGGAGAATAATTAAAATTAATTGATAGGAATATCTGCATTAAACCGGTTTCTATTAAGGAAATTTAATGGAAATCGAACCGACTGTATAAGATAACCACAAATTCGAATAAATACGCCGATTACTATAAGAAAACGTTCACCAGTAAACAACAATCCTTTAAAACTTAAATTGAATAGAAATACAATTGGCCATCAAACTTTCCGAGTAACTTTAACCAGCGACATTAAAAACTTCTACTATCAATCAATTTTATAGCTATGCCAGGGTTTACTACATGCAGTTGGCAGTCACTGCAGGCAGTTTAGTAATACGATAACGATATCCTGAATACTAATTTGTATCTATCGCAGGAAGGGAACTTCTCGGCACTTTCGAAAGATGAAGTACGTGCCAAAACAAAAATCCCTCTATCGTTTTACCGGCACTAATGGCGCATCCAATTAAAACTTTCGACCTCGAATAATTCACGTTTCGCTTATAATAAACATTGCATTGTGCGTGCGCGTAGAAACAAGACAACAAAATCCACGGGAAAAACCCCGAATTTTCGGAGCGCTGATTGCGGAATTTCCAGCACAAATAAAATTCCGCCATTGTCCGCCGAAAATCACGACTGAATTGAATCGAAACAAATTATTGCGAACGCGATAATTAAAACTCCGCACATCACTAGTTTTTCCTTCGGATGCTCCGTTTGTTATCTGGTAAATCATTTTCATTGGATTGATTATTTTCCATCGACTGGCTCGCCGGGAGTGTTCTTCCATTGAATAACAACTATTTCACTATAGGTCGTTTAAAACCAGCATCGATTTCATATTTTATAAAGCTACTTATTTAGTATTTTTCTATACAAAATCCCCCATACATTCGACCTGAATTCCTAGTGCAATTTTCAATCTACAAACAACGTTTCCATCGAGTTTGTTCTGCTCGGTTCTTTAAAGATTTATCCCCGATCACGATAGCTAATCAATCTTTTACGTTTACGGCATTTTATAGTTTAAAACGGGGCGAGTTAGGAAAGGAATTCGACCGGTTTTTCGGGAGTTCTCGCGTGCGGAAAAACCCGGCGAAATTGTTTCGTTCGAGTCGAATAGAAAAGGCGTTTATATCGTGCTCGAAACGGGGAATCCCATTACTTAAAGCAATACTGTTATAATAATTGCAAGGCGAATCTTTCGTCTTGTAGAAGAAGTTTTCTATCTACTCTTTTGAACTGTTGCTAGTTCGTGCGCCTATTAAATCTCTCTAGCAAATTAGGTAAGTGATGCAAAGCGTACGCGAAAACGACTTTCTCGTTAATTTAATAAACCGAAGAAGATCAAAAGCAACAAACACAGAGAGCACGGACTTTCCGAAACGCTGGGAAATGAAATAACGCGGTTTCGCTGCTCGAAATAGAGCAAAGCGAAAACTATAAACTACAGAAAAAAAGATTCCAAACGTGTTAACTATCTATGCTAATTTACTGAGTTAACAAGAAGTTAACTTTGGGTTAGGTTGATGAATTAAAGTTATAAAATCATTATTTCTTTTATGTTTCGTTTCAATCTTTCGTTAATTTTATCAACAGTTTCGCCTCGGCGGGATCGAGTAAAGGGGAAATATTAAAAGTAAAATATATCGAAGAATAAATTCAGAAAGTTCGGATGGTTTTATTTAAAGTTTTTGCGATGGTCTAAGCGAAAACTATAAACTGCAGAAAAAAAGATTTTCCAAACGTGTTAACTATCTACACTAATTTATTGTGTTAACAAAAAGTTAACTTTGGGTTAGGTTGATGAATTAAAGTTTTAAAATCATTATTTCTAACATCTTTTATGTTTCTTTTCAATCTTTCGTTAATTTTATCAACAGTTTCGCCTCGGCGGGATCGAGTAAAGGGGAAATATTAAAAGTAAAATATATCGAAGAATAAATTCAGAAAGTTGGGATGGTTTTATTTAAAGTTTTTGCGATGGTCGATGAGAAACGACTCCAACAGGCCTGTATAACTTTTTGTCGTCGGATCTCTCGATCATTTCGACGGCTTATATCTTTCTAGTTACACTTTCAAGCCAGAGACGTTTCCGATTTTAGATGCTTTGTATTTAATTAAAGTTCATTTCGAGTCTAATCCTCTGAAATTATGCTCGAAGGGGAATTCATTTGCCGCGATAAAAGTTGGGATTCGTTCGAATTCGAATATGAAGAGTTGTTTGAGATGTTTTTTGAGCAGTTGCCAATTAAATATGACTGTACAAGTCAGTGGCGTTATTTTATGGCAACAACGTGAGAGGATTATTCCGAAATTCCAAACAAAATATTCGATAGTTTATTTTTCGGTCGGATAAAAGTTTCGAAAATTCGAATATCTCCACTGGGGGAAAGTTATTGATGTTTTTAATGGGAGTTCAAATTAGTTTGTAGTCGAATTCGTGTTAATAACGTAGCACAACTTTCTCCAGCACCTCCCACAAATTCCTATTTTTATTAAAACCTGCTAATCAATAGTTCAGTTCTCGTGCAGCTTTATTATTTTAGCGTCAGATGTCAGAAACTTGTTTCATGCCACGGTGTGTCTATATTGCATTGTAGCTTTTGTACCTTTTGCAGACACGTTCGAGCTTGTAGTCTAGCATAGCAGGGAGCCATTTTAAACATTAACCTTCAATTTTATCCATCCATCAAGCCGTGATTAATTCGATGCAGCTCGTACATCACCCGAGGTTTTGAGGCGAAGACGACTATTGGTTCGAATCCGCTCAAATTGTCCTAATTACATAAGCCTTTCTTTGCTAAAAAAAAGTCGCAATAAAACGATCTCGGTTAAGGTGAAACGAGCAGGTTTTTAACAAGAAGACAACTGCAGATACCCCAACTCGTTAAAAATTAATAAAGGCAAAAGGGAAACTTTTTCTTTGAACCCTATCTACCTCCCGTCCCCGTTGATAATTTTTTACTCCATTAGCCTCTTTTTCGCCCGACTCTACATTGTTATAGAAGTTTCCAGGATGCTTTATAACTGGAAATTAACTGGTGTTTCGCCTTCTCGCTCGTTTTAAAGGTCGCCCGGAACTGTATAGAGGACGTCCCACGGTAATCTTGCATATAAAACGCTATTTGCGCAGGTTCTGAAGCCGTTAGATCCATCAAAAGACCGCAAAGGTTGTTCGAATTCTGGATGTGTGGACTCGAGGGATGGAAATCAAACCGAGGCTCGTTCCTCACCATGAATCGTTCCTCTCCTGTTCAGGTTAAGAGATGAACCGGTAAATGAGGGAGCTGGATAAATTTCTTCAAGCTAAATTCGTAATTTATTCAATCTGGATTTAATCAAAAGTCGTTTGTTATGTATGAAATATCAATTATGCGTCCGAATTTTTTTGTGTTCGATTCGATAAGGAAATTACAAAATTTTTTATATATTGATTTCGATACAAAAACGTGACCCGGAGCAGATGAAATATTGTAAAAATGGCTTTTTTAAATTGAAATTTCGTTCGCAATGGAATGGATGGATTCCTTCGGAAAACATGTAAATCTAGATGTATTATTTAAATAGTAAATTAATCAGTTAGATGTATAAATTCGATTGGAATTTTCTCCGGGATAAATCGAAACGCGGTGGATGCAAATTCGTCAAATTTCGCGAACGTTAACGCAGAATATTAATCGACTTGGCTTAATAGGGGCCATTAGAAGGCAACACGTTGTCGATGCATCCTCTTGTCTAATCTCCTTCATTCCTGCTGGAAAATTTATTATGCAAATTGGATCGATCAGCGGGCTATTGCAGACTACAGCGTTTTCAGTTAAAAGTAATCGATGGAACGTCGTAATTCATTCCTTCGTTTCCCGGTATAATTCTTGGTTTTTTTCTTTTATTTGGTGCGATGCAACGCGAATTATTGCTGATGAATTTGCGAAAGTTAACGTTGCAGAAGTGAAGAAGTACGCTAACACATGCTATAATTTCGAATTTGAATTGTTAATTCGAACTCGAATACTCGAATGTTAGTTGCATAAAATTCGTATATGCACTTATCCCTCTGGAGATTTACCAACTATAAATTTCATCGAGTTTGATATTTATATTTATGTGGAACGATAACATGTTATGTATTTGTTTTTAAATTTTCGTATTAAAGGATTGTCTCTAATATTTGACAATTTGGCAATCCATAAATAAAATTTGCAACATATTAGTTTATTTATACCTTCCTCTAATGTAAAATATATTTGCATTTATATCTGACTCTTCAAAAATTAGATCTAGAACTTTTTCATATAGACTCATCGATTCTTCAGAAAAAAATAATGATAAACTAACTTTTCCAAATCAAATTTTTCAAAAACTGTATCAAAGTTTCTCTTGGTAACCAAAAGAAAGCATAAATCAAATGAATATAGTCAGGAAATTGAGTTTATAGTGTTGCCATCTATACGTTAAATACAAAAGTTTCCTTTACCAATATTAAGCAAACTGAAGGTTTTGGGAATTAAAATTTTCTGATAGTTGTATAAGTAATACTGATATTATATGTAGAAGATGTCGCTGGTTGTTGTAATTTTCAATTTAAACACAAATAAAATTCATAAACGTTTATTAAAACACGATAAAACAATAACATTAACGCAAATCTAACAACTAACAAGCTTGTAGAATAAAATTTACTATACACTAATACTGTTTCCGAAATTTCTTCATCTATGAAGCAGCACCCGCTTCATCCCAATATTAACAGCTAATTTGTACGAATCGTTTTTGTTACTCTTCTTCAAAATCTTCTCCATAATCCATCTCTAGATCATTATCATCATCTTCTATCGCGTACTCTTCTTCCTCGTTATCAGGACGCGGGCAGGCAGTACATCTTCAAATATAATGAAATTAGAAATAATAAAACATCTCGAACTAACAACTCACAAGCTTTTACTTCGCCCGTAATTAATGCACTTCTCTCCCACGCACTCGCAGCATCCGTTATGAAACAACCTCAAACTATTGGCGCCCACCGAATTGCAACTCTGTTTGCACTTGCGGAAACTCATGCAATTATTCCACCATATCACGCTGCAATTGGTGTTCATTAAATTCCCTGAAAACCACTTTTATACTAACACTTTTATCAACAACGACTGCATTCTTCACCTTTCGAATTCGTGTAGTAATTTTCGTACGTTTCGGTACTCCAGTGCTTCGTATCGTCTATTTCCAACAGCGCTTTGAACAATTCCGGAATTGGTCCATCGAGATCTTCCACAGTTGACAGTTTATCCGGCTCATAATCCATTTTCGACGGGCACACATCTAACACAACAAACAACAAATACAAAGAATTTAATCGTGCGATTGGTACTACTTACCCACGCAGGAGCAACACTCGATGAAGTCCTTGCCCAAACAGGCGTGACAGGAGGCGTAGCAGGTTTCGTTCTGCACGTCGCAATTGCAGGACCGGGTCAGCAGGCACATGCTGACCACCGGGGCGCAATTGCTCTCGTTACAGCCCTGGGCCAGCAGGAAATTGGTCACTATGGCCAGGCAAACGGCGAGTGGTTCTTTCATGGTGCTGGCGAATCGACGGATTTGTTGCATTAGATGTTCGATTTGCATTAAAATATCGCGGATATAACGCGAAACTCACCGCTAAGTATAGATTTATACAAGGCGATTTGTTTTTGGTGTTTACGTTGTTGGCGATGTTAGCGATTTACCTTGTTCGCTGGTTTGTTTAAATTAATTCGATTTATAGGAGAGAAATTTGAGAGACCTTGCATAATTGCGCGATTAATTTGGAGAATTTCGTAAATCGTGCAAGTAAATAGTACACGAATGTTCCTGTAAGCTTTGGAATTATTTAGAAAACGTGTTTGATTCTGTAAATAATTTGTATAAATTATACTACGCAGATTATAAAAACTTAACCAAACAATCTTAGTATTATGTAGAAAGGATCGAGTAATACATTCATTCGAATTGTGAAATAGGTAAATAGACAAATGTGTGCAATTTAAGAACATCGGTATGTCCACACGAAATTAATTGATAATAAAAATATTTACATTTGTATTATATTCGTTGTAAATTATACTAGAATTTAAGCTACAGGAAGTAATATTCTATGCGAACATCAAACACTTATTATCTAGAAAAAAATTATCAATAAACAATAAACAATAAATTAACTTGATGATTGATTGAATGCTATAGAAATGTCTAGTATTGTTTTATTACATCCATGATCTTCCTGTAAAGTTTCTAATTGACACCTAATATGTTGCTTTAATTAATTAATTACTAATAACATTTCTCTCATCTATTAACATTATAACACTATTCATCCAAGTCTCCCGCTAGATAATCTAGTTTATACAACATCAACGCAGTGTTGCTATTTAGCATTGAGTTATAGGAAACCTCTGATGCTTCCACGCGATGATGGGAGTTATTCATCGTGTTTATTGCGACCGGCGTAGTCGGAGCCGGTCTAGGTCGGAGACTCGGTTTTAGTTCGATGCGATACATCGCTCGGTAGAGTACTGTTAGTACCGCGTGGAGTGTTTTCTGCCGGTCGCCGGTCGCAACGTGTTGAAGCGGTAAAAAAATTATTGCGCCAAACGAAAATTTTATTAAAAGTCGCGGAGGTCAAGAGAAATCGACGGGTAAAGTACGACGAGTGGTACCGTCGCGAACGAACGGTTTTTTTTGCACTGGACTTGTACTATTTTGGATTTCTAAAAAGGTAAAGTTCGAGGATTTATTTGGGTAATGTCAGGTACATTATTTACTACTGGAAGTACCTACCAAATTCACCTGCTTTATTGTGTGCTCGAATGAATAGGTACTACCTAGCAGTTTATGTTATGTTCAAGCTGCAGTTGTATGTGGGTTAATTTATTAGTTGTGTCATTGTTAAATACATTGATCTTTTTAAAAATGTTGGGTACTGTTCGTAATGATAGTACCATACCTAATACTGTTCTGGAGGTTACTGCATACGTAATATAGATAATTAGCACCTTTTAATTAAATAATATCTATTAGAAACACTGGTAAACTGACAATGTAGTTATCAGGATCCCCTCGTATTATGTTATTTGCACTTTTAACAACATCAATAAATATCGAAGGCTGCTGATAAGATAATATCAATTCTATTTTAACGTAATTTAACAGTACGTAATGGTACTTCCTAGAATGCACGTTAAATCCACATTACGTTTCCTGCAATTCATCGCATAAATGTTACAGTAAAATGCAATTATTAATCCATATTTATAAAAAATAAAGCGTTTGCTTTGAAGTAAAAGGTAGAAGCAAAAGAAGAGAAAAAGGTTTTAAAACCATAAAACCTTTTGCTTTAAAGCAACAGCAGGATCCTCGAAGCAAAATGTACCTTGATGCAATTCCTTCATTTTTTGAAGCAAAAGGTTATGTTTATTTTTGATGCAAAAACTCCATATTTATGAGTCCATATTTATAAAAATGAAGCATTTACTTTGAAGTAAAAGGTAAAAGCAAAAGAAAGTTTTAAAACCATAAAACCTTTTGCTTTAAAGCGACAACAGGATCCTCGAAGCAAAACCTCCCTTCCTTCTCTTCTTTACATGCATGTACCTCGAAGCAATTCCTTCATTTTTTGAAGCAAAAGGTCCTATTGAGTAGAATTAGATCATTAATTCCTCAGCAAACTTGACAGTACCCTACAATCGCTCAATTACCAAACCACCTTCTATTCCAGCTCGTCCGCCAGAATCTCCTACACAACCAAAAACAATGAGCGCAACAACGTGACCTCCAGCCCCATCCGAAAATGCCCCGCCACCCGGACCGTCCCCATCACCACCATGGCACGCAGACGGCGCCTTCTCAAAACCCTCATCGGCATCATCGTCGGGCTGTTCGCGTCGCGGCTCTTCGCCGACGAGTGCTTCTGGTCTGGGCGCTCCAAGCCCTACCGGCTCATCGACGACGAGAACCGGCGCGCCATCAATAAGAGCCTGCTGTTCGTCGGCGTCATGACGGCCGCCAAGTACCTGGACGGCCGCGCCAGGGCCGTGTACGACACGTGGGGCCGCGAGGTGCCCGGCAAGGTGATGTTCTTCGGCGGCGAATCGGCCTACGCGGAGCACGTGCCGCTGGTGGGGCTCCGAGGCGTCGACGACGAGTACCCGCCGCAGCGGAAGAGCTTCAGGATGCTCAAGTACATGTACGATCGCTTCGTCGATCGGTACGAGTGGTTCGTGCGCGCCGACGATGATGTTTATGTCAGGACTGATAGGTTGGAGGAGCTGCTGAGGTCCGTTGATAGCAGGAAACCTTGGTTCATAGGTAAGATGAAGATGATTTGCTTGTTGAGAGTGAGAATTTAGGAGTCTATGAAGCTTGGATTGGATGTATGAAGATGATTTGCTTGTAGAGAGTGAGAATTTAGGAGTCTATGAAGCTTGGAGCGCTATTGGACTCGCTATTTTTATGATTGGATGTATGAAGATGATTTGCTTGTAGAGAGTGAGAATTTACGAGTCTATGAAGCTTGGATTGGACCTATGAAGATGATTTGCTTGTAGAGAGTGAGAATTTAGGAGTCTATGAAGCTTGGATTGGACCTATGAAGATGATTTCATTTGCTTGTAGAGAGTGAGAATTTAGGAGTCTATGAAGCTTGGATTGGACCTATGAAGATGATTTGATTTGCTTGTAGAGAGTGAGAATTTAGGAGTCTATGAAGCTTGGATTGGACCTATGAAGATGATTTGCTTGTAGAGAGTGAGAATTTAGGAGTCTATGAAGCTTGGATTGGACCTATGAAGATGATTTGCTTGTTGAGAGTGAGAATTTAGGGGTCTATGAAGCTTGGATTGGACCTATGAAGATGATTTGCTTGTAGAGAGTGAGAATTTAGGAGTCTATGAAGCTTGGATTGGACCTATGAAGATGATTTCATTTGCTTGTAGAGAGTGAGAATTTAGGAGTCTATGAAGCTTGGATTGGACCTATGAAGATGATTTGATTTGCTTGTAGAGAGTGAGAATTTAGGAGTCTATGAAGCTTGAATTGGACCTATGAAGATGATTTGCTTGTAGAGAGTGAGAATTTAGGAGTGTATGAAGCTTGGATTGGATGTATTCTTCTGCTACATCTTTAACCTTTCTAGCTTGTAATGTCCAATTTGTTAAGACCCTCCACAACCTCCTTCATGCATCATCTAAATATTTCATGAAGAAGAAGAAACCTATGCACTTACTAACAATGTAGTCTCATTACTTAAAACATACCATTTACTCAATTTATGATCCCATTAACATGATATTAGAAAAATCGTTAACATTCAATGAAATCGTAGAAACAAACATCGTCGCTTAGTGCGTGATTATTTCGTAAATATTTCGGTCTAATCCAGTTTATTGTGAAATAGGTAAGTTATCTTCGTGAGTAAAGAAATTCGTTTTGTATTCTACGATCGTCCGATGGGCAGGTAGAAATCCTGTTTCGGTAAAGGCGACTGACATTTCAACGGAACAACCGATTAAAGTGACTAATGTCTCGTGGTTTTTTGTTGATACTGTCGGGAATTCGGTCGCCAGTGGAAGATAAATAAGGGTCATCGATAAAGAATCGTTATCAATTTTTTTTTGGAGAGTTCCATCCAGAATTCCTGTTTGTTTGCAGGCCAAACGGGCAGAGGCAACACCGAGGAATTCGGGCTGCTCTCGCTGGACGACGACGAGAATTTCTGCATGGGAGGTCCGGGGGTGATTCTGTCGAGGGAGACGCTGAAGCGGATCGGGCCCTGGTTGGAGGAGTGCCTGGATAATCTCTACACGACGCACGAGGACGTGGAGCTGGGCAGATGCGTGAAGAAATACGCCGGGATATCCTGTACGTGGTCCTATGAGGCGAGTGACTACTCTAGTGTAAGCCAGAATGAGCAAAATTACCCGGAAATTTCAATAGTAAATTCGTAAATTATGCGGCGAGGTTTTCGTCCTTGGTGAATTTTTAGAAATCGATTCTTCCTGTTTAGTATAATGATCAGAAATCTGGCGAAATGTTTGTAAAAATTCGCGTAAATGTAGCGAGAATTCGGCCAAGCGGTAGGATTGTTTTTTCAGCGCTTCTAATCTAAACAATTCCGCTTTCTGGATTTTTGTTGAAAATTAACAGAAATGCAAGGAGTTTTATTAATTTTTGTCAACTAGGGATCATAAATTCCCACGCAATTAATCTTTCTCGACAGACACAAACTCTTGAGTTGCATCATTAAATCGCAAATTGATCATTCCTCAATTTTCATTAAAAATTACATTAACACGTGTATTTTTATATAGTACATACATAATAAATTAGTTTTTTTTTTGCTGATTAAATGGAATTTAATTGGATCGTAAATGTTTAACGTTTGAAAAAGTTTAATTTCATATAACCGATGTCTAGCTAATTTTCGGTAACTGGTTAGAATAATATACAGGATTTTATCGATTTAGATTGAAAACTAGGTTAAACGTCGTAAAAAGAAAAATAAACAATTTATATGGGAGGTTAATAAAAAATCGGGTGGAAAAATATGGATGTTGTAATTAGGAAAGTTGTTAATTTCGAATATTAGATTTCTCTTACAACGCCAAAATAATCATCGGTTTGTATTGAATTGAGACATAATTTATACTTAGTAGTATTTTTTTTACTGTTACAAACGACGACTCGATTACCTTGAGCGCAATATTAAATTGTGGTTATTATTTTTTCCCGCGAAATATTTTTTCTAGTCGATTATTTCTATAAAATTAAGTACATCAATCGGTCAAAGAACTCCACATCAAATTTCATTTTTTTTAATAAATCAATCGTGAAAATCTCGTAAGTAAATCTTTTAAAATCAATCAGTAACACTTGAACGATTAAATGAATAAAACCTTTTCCCGTCTGCTATAAAAAATAAAAAAAATTGTCGCAATACCAACTGGAATATAAATATTAAATTATATGTTTAGACGAATTCACCACTCATCCGCTGTGAGGACAAATTAGTTAATTCAATTCGTGAAACTTAATGTGACTTAAATAAATTATTAAGTAGCGTTTGATAAGATAATGTGCAATGAAAATACAGACACCACTTCTATCTAAATATAGCCGTATTTTGAAATTCAATAATGCCCAGTGTTAAATGTCACCCGATTAACTAGGTTGATAAAATTGGGCAACGAATTTATCTCGATGTTTTATTGAGCAAAACACGTCCGAATTTTGATTTTGATTTATTCGCTGCTGCCCAGTGTAATAACTACGAATTAAAGTCGTTAAATTAAAAATTGTTTACCGGCGAGTTTCTATTTTATATCCGTTTTTTTTTTATTGGCCATACGAAAACAGTTAAACTCAGGTCACTGATACGAATCGCCTTAAAGACTAGCTAGTTTGCTTAGGAGAAAAAAAAAGTCCGCTCGTCCTTTTATGTCTGGGCCCCCGTTTTGCAATTATATTCTTCTCGGAAACTGTTTTACATAGACATTAACCAGCGGCGACTCGTCGAAAATTGGATCAGAATGCTTCGTTCATTCGCGACAATCGATTCCAATTGATTTATTATCGTAACGCGCAAAGAATAAGCTAATTATCCATTGTCTTTTAATCGTCATCTTGACTCAACGCCTTGTCTAAACTTCCGTTATTTTATCTTACTTCGGCTATAAATAGTCGCGTAAACTATTTAACCTTATTTTCAAGAAAACGAGAAACTGCATCTCGACGTGAATGTCATAATTAATCAGGATTCGTTTCTTTTATTCATTCACGATCGAGCCAATGAACCGAGTTTTACTCCGTCGAGAAATCTATAACTGATGCTCTGAGAAATTTAGAACATTTTCATAACTACATTTGCCGATATTCTTCTTCATCATCGTCAAAGCTGCGCCGCTGTCGGGACGTTTCATTGATAGTTAAAGCTTTTAAAGACCTTTTGAAGGTGTAGGGTTTCACGGAGGATTCGAAAAAAAAAAGAAAATAAATGGTGTTTGTCAAAATCGTCGGAAATGTCTTCAGAAGAGGCTCCGATCTAATGGCTTTTGGGTCGTGTGAAACAACTGTTTTTCGATTGAACATAAACAATTTGAATGTTTGAGAAAGCCGCTTTAGTTTGAGCAAAAAGCTTTCATACCTATTTTAGAAGTGCATAGATAAAACTGCATACCGATCGGAACAATTCAATTTTATTAACAATTAAATATCGCTACATCATTATCTTACCTGCAATGATATAAACTTCCTATTTGTCGTATCGAATTACGATTTGTAATCGATATTAAATAATTCGAAGGCGAGATGCGGTAATTCATCCTTGAAAATACTTATATATGATTAAGGGACATTTTTTAAATTATATATCGTGAGATAAGATTAACACGAAGGAAAAAAAAATTGTTTATCTACATAGGTAATTAGATATTCGGTAGAATTGGTGATTTAATAATGATGCACTGATAACGAAGGTTAAACAAGTCAGAAGGAACTTTATGTTGAATGATTTTTATTACTTTTCGAAATAGTGTAATAAAATATTTTCGATTGTAACTACACATTTCATTTAATCGAATTCTGGTCTATTTTTACCTATCATTTTTAATCGAGTAGTTTATTTTATTGCCGTACAAAACGGATGTAGGTGTCTAATAAAAAAACTACATAGTAGATGCATAAATAATTTATTTGGTTTAAAATTTTATATCGTCTTGCAGATGCAAGTCATCCTCTACCACAATCAAAGCGGAAACGCCGCGTTTTCCGGCGATTTGAAGCAAAAAGAAGTCCACAGGGCGATTACTCTGCACCCCGTCAAGCAACCCCAGTACATGTACAGGCTGCATAAATACTTTAAGGTTGGTAGAATTTTATTTTCGTGTTACATGTAATTTTGTGAGCTCTACAAAGTCTTGTAATGTATTGAAAATTTCGCTGATATTTTCGTAGTGATTGCGATAATCTTTATTGTTCAGATGATACATTGAAGCGAATTAACCGTTGACCCAATTTATCGGTTGATTGTTTACTCGGTATTTAATTTGCAAATAATTTTTAAATTCGGATCCACTGATAAGCCACCGTTTTATTGACTTTAGCGAATGTGTTTTTAATTAAACAGCGATTACGCTTTTTTTTCCTGCGCATTTTTAATTTTTTGACGTTCGTTTTTTAGTAATATAGAGTGTTAATTAATTGAATGCCGATACTTCAGGATGTGAATATTTGATTGATTTTAAGAAGAAAAGTTTATATCAATGTGTGTCCTAAACCTCTTAGTTTTAGAGATACAGGGTGTTGAAATTTTAGAAAAAAAAAAACTTTTTATCATAATTTTCTTATTACTCCATATATTTTTATGAAATTTTGTATACACTTTTTAATTATTAAGAAGCATTTTTTGAGGTGTAAGATTTTTTTAAATTTTCACCAGTGACGTCCGTACGGGGTTTGAACTGAATAGGTTTGAAAAAAAAAATGGTACACCACTGGTTTTTCTTAAAACTAAAATTATTTTTATCTACCTGTAATTCAAATTGAACGATGGTTTTCGTAATTTGATAATCGAATTTTATTCTGACGAATTCCACGCGTACAACGTACGAATTACGTATGCAAAAACACTTTTTTACGACACCATTTCAACGGGATACAAAGATCAAGGCTTAAAATTCCATTTCGTCCGAACACTCGTTTCGGTTCTACACGGAATTCATTTAAAAAAAACTCGTAAATGTTTGATGAAATTCATTTCGTACGCTTCCACTCATTTGCATGTCTTTTATTTTTACTTATCTACAGGGTTTGAAGATCCAGAATAACCAGCAGAAGCGCGTCCTGCTGCATCGCGACATCGCCTCATCCATGCAGGAATTAGGCTATCGGATTGATAGAGTCAACGCGGCCCGACTCGCGCCCGATTTAGCACTGTTTGACCAACCCCGCGGAAGCGACGGGTACTTAGGCGATAGCAGTACTTTAGGTAAATTCATTTAGAAACTCTTAAATAATTTTTAATATGCTCCGTTGTAGGCGTACCGGCCGGTTTGAACAGGTACGTTCCTCAAACGTTAGATGAGGTGTTAGAGTGGGAGCTCATTTGCAAGACTTTGTACACCCACAGGGATTCGAATCCTCGCAAAAGGATCGGGTCCTCTTTAAAAGAAGGTTTAGGCGATGTTGTAAGAGAGGTAAATTGATTCGTTGTGGTAATTTCACGATATTATGTTTGAGGTAATTGCAGATTATGGAACTGATTAACTCGTTCTCGAGGCAGAGGGGTAGAGTTATAGATTTTAAAGAAATCCTCTACGGCTACTGGAGATTGGATCCTTCGTATGGTGTAGATTTAATTTTAGATATGCTGTTGGTTTATAAAAAGTACAGGGGACACAAGATGACTGTGCAAGTCAGGCGGCACGCTTATGTTCAGCAAACATTTACAGGTAACATTAACCAGTTTTATCACTTTTGTATGCTTGAGTTTCGCTGTTTTTCTAGGGATTTTCGTAAGAGAAGTGGAAGATTACGCGCATCACGATCGAAACCTAGTCAGTTCGGACTCGCTACCGGTGCACAAACAAATCGTCCACAAAATATTCTCGAAAATCAACGAGCAACTACAGCCCCTGCTAAATTTCTACGATATCAACGAGTCCTGTATCAATTTCATCGTACCGCTAAGCGGTCGCCACGCCATCTTCACCAGATTCGCCGAATTGTACGAGGAAATCTGCCTGAAAACCTCCGAAAATACCAACCTCTACGTGGTGCTCTACAGAAACGCCGAAGCTCCCGAAGACTACAACAAAACCGCTCAATTCCTGCGAGATTTATCAGCGAAATATCCCCATCGCATCGTCCAAACCATCACTCCAACCGGCCAGTTCTCCAGAGGCAAAGCCCTCCAGCGCGGAGTCGACCAGCTCCACCAGGACAGCCTCATGTTATTCATCGACGTCGACATGGTCTTCGACAGCGGCAGCTTGCGCAGGATCCGCTCCAACGCCGTGCAACAGAGGAAACTCTATTTTCCCATCGTCTACAGCTTGTACAACCCCAGGTTCATCAACGCCTCCTTCAGCGAACGCGCTTGGATCGATCCCGAGCAAAGTAAGTCATTCTTACATATAGCACCATGTCCTAGAGTGTCCAATGAGGACCAAGCCCAGCTCAATTGATGCTTAAGCAGCAGGAGTGGCGCAATGACCAGCTAGATCTAATGATCCTCTGTAGTTTCCCAAGGTCACTGATGCTCTGATGCCCTTGTTTTGTTGAGATTTATAGGATCTAAAAACGTCCTTCCTGGGGTTTTGTACCTGCGCAAGGATACGCTATCATCATCAGCCTCCCCGCATGTTTAATGCTGTACAATTTTGAGCCAGCGAGGCGCCTTTAGTTTAGTTAGCAAGTCCTTGGGGATTGTCACAAGATATGTTCTATTCTTGCAGGGCCAATCAACGATATCAACGGTTTTTGGAGGCAGTTCGGCTTCGGCATCGCGAGCTTGTACAGGAGCGACTACGATCGCTTGGGGGGCTTCGATTTGGAGATATCGGATTGGGGCAACGAGGACGTGGCCTTCTACGATAACGCCGTGAGATCGGAGTTGAGGATCGTGCGGAGCGCGGATCCCGGATTGGTGCACATCTATCATCCGGTGAGGTGCGATGGAATAATGGATGTGAATCAGAAGACCATGTGCTCGGGGACGAAGGCCAGCACTTTAGGATCGCTGCGGTATCTGCAGGCGTTGTTCTTGAAATACAAGGATTTGTTCAGGTAACACGAGGCCCGATGTGTGTGGGGGTTTGTTCGTCTGTGATTTAAACATTCGCGTTCGCTAGGCAATGATGTCATTAATTTCCATGTGGTTCAACATTTCCCTAGTGTCGATGTTAATTCTCCCGTTTGGCTAGGGGAATTTAACGATGCGTAGTTGAAAGTCGAAGTTCTTGAGGTAAATATATCTGTCACCTCAAGATTTTCGTTTCAACGCGGCAACGTTGCAACAGGTTGGCTTGTGACGTCATTGCCTAGCGAGCGCGAATGTCCTTTATATGTGTTTTTTTGCTGCCATAATTACATTAATTATCGTAGGATTTTTTATTTAGTCAATTGGGTTTCGATTGGTTGTGTTTCTACTGTAATTGGAACCAATCGAGGCTCGATTGATTGATCAAAAGGTTCGATTAGTTAGAAAAATCAATCTCAAAATACTCTCGATTCGTTTGTAAGTAATAAATAACAATCCTACGTGGAAATAAACTGAGGAATATTTTGAATTACATATTTTGTCAGTAGTAAATTGCGTAGGTAATAAAGTTCCTTTTATGTATTGCCATTTTTAAATTATTTATAAATAATTAATTTCGAACTTATTAAACGCGAAACGAAATGTGCTAGACGCTTTCATTTCTGAATAAATTGGAAAAAAATTTCTTGCGAATTATTTTGCAATTATATGGTAAATGAATCGATACACATTTATCACTAATGTTTCTAAAATTTTAGAAACAATATTATTTATTATATATTACATCACGCGATTCTTTCAGAATCATACACATAAAAAATTGTTTTCCTAAACAAACATTAAATACAGCACAGTGATTTATCTACATTGTTGAAATTTATTTAAAAAGCATTTATCTACAAGAGATTTAAATATCGCATCCATTCCGAAAAACGACACTCAAACGCGAAAGAAAAATTATTACCTCCATGATTAATCATTCTAGGTGGTTCATAACCATCAGGTTATCGATCAAGTGGTTATTATCTGCTCGCGTAAGGACAGTATAACCAATTGGTTAGATAACCTAGAGGTTATATTGATACATAATAGTTTAGTAGGGGATAGATGCTTTTCAGAATGGAAACGAATGATTTATTATTCCGTTTACAAGCTTACAAGTGTCACAAGTGGGAAGAAAATTCACAACAACTTGTATGAACCCCTAAATAACTGAATAATTACCTAAATTATTCAGTCGATATTTTAAAGGTTCATATGTTAATTTCCCAACCGAATAAAAAAATACTTAAGTAACGAAATATCAATGATTTGATTTTGAAATCTACATTGCACTAGTTTTTAATTTGTTTAACGAAGATGTCACAAGGTGAATTATCGCGTTGTTGCCACGTTGTATTTTTTTTCTCTTAAGTAAGAGATTTCTAGTAAAGGTGACTTCTTCGTCAAACTTGTATGTAATTTAATCGAACTAGTGCATCGATATTATCAAATATTAAGAATATCCAATTAGTCAAAAATTTTGAAATACGATAAAAGAAGTCATCAGTCTTAAATAAATTACCTATAAAATATATACAAAATAAATTAACTTAAAAGAAACGTTTAAAACTTAGTTTAAAAAAAAATAAAGAAAGAAACTCAAAACGTTATTATACAACAAATGAATGAATCTTGGGAAACGTCCACGAGCTTTCTTATTATATACAAAATAAAATCCGTTCGTTTAGGCAGTTCTTAAAATTCCCCTAAACAAACATTTATAATTGAAACATTTCGTCGATTTGCCTCGTCCGCTGAATTTCAAAACTACAACCCGATAGCCTCGCGATATTTTTACCGATACATTTCGCAATGATTCCGAAAAAAAAAAAGTCTAATTAAAGCTCGAAATAAGTAATTATATACACGCCTCGCGTCTTCGAAGGTAAATCACGAAAACATTTTACATAAATTACAATTTTTATACAATCGATTCGAACGATATCAAAAGCTTACAATCTGTATGTATGTATTACAAATCACAGGTTAGTGTTTCTCGAAGCGGTTTTAAAATGTATTTCTACACAAACGGAGAATTACTAAATTTGCAACTAATACATTTGAGAGACAATATAACAAGCGTTAAAAGATAATTTATAAAAAAATGCTATCACGGTGAACTGCTATTAAAAAACAAGAAATCTTCGAATTTTCAAAAAGTAAATTCTGCATTCGTTTGGATACAATTCGAACGTGCATTAAACTACGCGTTATAAAAACCATTTTGAAAAAATATCTCTTGAAGGCTTATTTACTTCGCTATCCCTTTTTTTTTTTTGATTATGCTATGAGATCATAAACGAAAATAAAAACGAAACCGTGGTCACTTCGAAGCGAATCCAAAATAAAAAATGATATTTTTAAACAATTAAGAGGATATTGAAATTTTACTTAAACAAAAATTAAACATAAACACGTTGATAACATTTACGTTGGTCCCAATTCGAAAATTATCATTTCCAATTTAATTTCATTGCGATCGAACGATTTATTTTAATATTATACTCGAGAACGAAATGCTTTTTAGTTTTTGTGGAAGACATCGCAGAACAGATGAAATTCGAAATGCCAAACTTCAACATCCTCGCAACTACCAAGGCTTACTAAAATCACCGAGGATCGCTCGACAATGACGTCACGAGATAATTTAGTGAGCGAACCTCGCGATAAAATCAATTAAAAAAAAAACACAAATAACTCGAAATTAGATCAGAATTTACCCGGTGCAGCTCCCTAATGTTTACGATCAAAACTTCCTCGAGTTTATTTCGTTATATTCGTTTTGTTTTTAACGTCTCGTATCATCATCGCTCTTTATCACAGTTGGCCGATGCTATCGTGGTTCTTCTTTTTTGTGTAAATCCGCCGGCGGCGTCGCGCTCATCTTGTGCGGATTCATCGGAGGCGGCGGGCCCGGACCCGGTCTCAAATTCATCAATGCCGGATCCTTCAAACACAAATTACATATTAACAAATATATCTTATAAATATGGTTTATTACAGGACTCGGAAACCGCCCGAATTTTTCTCGATGCTTCCCCGAAACGAATTTTTCATGAGGTAAACCGCTATATACAAACGTTGGAGAAATAGGTAGAGATAATTTTGGGAGATTTTGAAGTGCTCATTGGACACCAAAGATGAAATTTTCTCAGGTCGAAACGTCGATTTTCGGATTGGGCGTGTTCATTTAGATGGGATTCGGTACTTTTTCCTGTCTAAAAACTCGATGTGTGGCGTGAAAATCCCTCCTAACGGTGTTCGGGAATCGCTGAGGTCCGGGTACTTTTCTTTTTCCTATAACTTGGCAAATAGAATTTTTAAAGATATGCGGTTTTCGGCAAGTTATTAGTAATGAATGGAAGAATATTTCGGGAAAGTTTGAGAGAAATCGTCCGAGCAGTTTCCGAGAAAACCCCAAAAAACCCGAAATCGGTGTTCGGGAATCGCTGAGGTCCGGCTACTTTTCTTTTTCCTATAACTCGGCAAATAGAAATTCTAAAGATATGCGGTTTTCGTCAAGTTGTTAGTAATGAATGGAAGAATATTTCGGGAAAGTTTCAGAAAAATCGTCCGAGCAGTTTCCGAGAAAATCCCAAAAAACCGCCGAAATCGACGCGAAAAACGCGATTTTCCATACCTTAGGCCTCAATTGGGAGGCGTGATGGGAGGCGGCGTAGGCGCCGAAGAAACTGGCCCTGTCCCTTTCCTCCTGCGCCCTCATCGCGTCCACGATGGGATTGTAGCCGTAGCGATAGAACGGATCGCTGGGCGGCGGCGGCGGCGCCGCCCCCCAATGCGTCGTCGGCGCGTGATAGGGATGCGGCGGCAGACCGTGCTGCATCATCCGCGACCGGTCCAACACGGAGGCGGGCGGACCGGGCGGCTGTAACGCGCCCGGATGCCTCAGGAACGGGTTGTACCTGTAATAACTAATCGAACGAAATTATTATACAAAACAAATCGCTTTATTAACTAACTAACTATACTTCATCCATTGAACCAACGGAGTAACCAAAACAAGTTCAGTCGCTGGATCGTCATGCACGTTTGCATCTATTGGGTAAAATAAAAAAAAAGCCTCCTTACGCTGACCAATCACTGATGATCACGCGTTGATCCAGCGTCTAGACTTGTTTTCAGTTACTCCATTGCTTGGATGGATGAAATATAACTAACCTTTGATCGGATCGCGCCATCATATCCTCCTCTTTGATCCTCGGTTCCTCTTTGATTCGTATATCCGACATATCGCCGTTCCTCAACGGCGATCTTTCTCTCAACAACGTCGGTTGCATCTTCGCCGATTCGGCCAGTCTTTGTTCCTGCAACAATCTCTCGCGCTCCCTCTCTCTCTGCCTCTCCAACTCTCTCCTCTCCATTTCGCGCTTCTCCCTCTCCTTTCGCTCCCTCTCCCTCTGCTCCTGTTGCTGCAACACACACAAATCGCTATTACGAATCCTCCTATACACTAATTCCAAAATAGTAGGCACTAAATTCTCAGAAATGATTACGGAAAATATCGTAGGCTACAAGTGTGTTTGACGGGAAAAATCAGCAGGAGACTAATAATTAGAAGAGCAAGGATTATGTAATAAATCGCCACAATATTTCCGAGAATTTAGTGCCTACTATTTCGGAAAATAGAGTATCAACGACCAACCTGTTGCTCTAATCGCCTCTGCTTCTCCTCGCGCTCCCTTCGCTCCCTCTCCTCCCTCTCGCGCCTCAACCTCTCGCGCTCCCTTTCCTCGCGTTCTCTGGCCTCGCGTTCGCGCTGCTCCAACACAGGATCCGGTTTGAGGCTCCAAGGCGGCGGCGCGCCGCCGCTCCCCAAGCCGGGCATCGACGGCGGCAGCGGATTCACCGCCGGCGGAAACCGCAGGCTGCGCCAAGGATCGTGGTGCAACGCCGCCAAATGGCCGGCATCTCTGGCGAACGGCGACATGGAAAATGGCGAGGTGGCCGAAGAGCCGAGAGGTCCGGGGCCGTAGCGAGCGAACGGCGACAGAGTGGAAGCGGCGGAGAAAGGGGATTTGGCCAAATGTCCGCCGGGGGTGGTGAACAACGAGCCGGGATGGTGGGGTTGATCGAAGCCCGGAGGCGGTCGGTGGCCGCCCAGCGACATGGGATAGGGGGAGAGCTCGTGCGGCGGCGGCGGCGGCGGCCGCGACGAGAATAGGTGAGTGGGAGGTCGGAGCAAATCGGAGGAGGATTTGGCGGCGGCGGCGGCCGCCACGGCGGCCGTCGCGCTCGCCAACGTGCCCTTGGCCTCGCCGCTCTTCTGCTGGTGGTGGTAGATCTCCCAGGCGACCCTCACGTGCATGGCGTTCCATTTGCCGGTTTTCTGTAAGGAAAGAAACTTGATGAAGACGAGGAGGTCATCGAGTAGTCGATTGTGAAGCTTTTTTTGATGAAAAAAGCAGCCAAATACAGCCACGTTATACAACGAATTGTTACTACATACCACTATCTTAGGTTTGGTCGGATCTTGTGGAGCCATCGACTGTGGACAAAGAAAAAAAGCGATTGTTAAAGGGGGGTGGGACAAACAAACAGCACTGCGCATGCTTCGAAAACACAACATCACAACACGATGATTACTCGCTAATGTTAATCGACCCTTTCGGCCTCTTACATGCCGAGTTTACAGTCACGTATAAGCAAAAAAAAGGGTTAATTAACGACGATTATCGTTCGAATTGCTCACCTTGGGTTGAAATGTAGGTAGGTGATTGGGCGGCACGAACGGCGTGGGTCCGGAGGCGAGACCGGGATGCATCAAACCGGGCGTGTAACCGGGGTAAGTACCGGGAAGGCCGAGGTTCTGGCGATAGAACGGCGAATCTACCGAACCCAGTTTAGGAATGTCCTTAAACTGAAACGGATTCGGATGAGTACACTGGTTTGTTTTTAGATGGGTAAAATTTGTCGATTAATTGGTGTCGCAGAAACCATTGCAAAATTGCCTGGTAACCGTTCATCGATAAATTTTATTCCGGCAATTTTTATATTGAAATAAAATACTCACGCTACTTTCTCGCCTTCTCGCTAGAGGTTCCACCGGCGTTAAGGACTAATCGGACAAAAAAAAAATCGTATTAAATACAAATATATTCAAAAGGGAGTATTAATTTCGAATCATTGCTAGCAATTTTACAACGTTTTCCTCGGTATCGATATCAAAAATCTTTTTATCGCATCAAAAACTCGACAAGAAAACTGTTTGTTCATCGACAATTACGTTTAACAATGATTAAAAAATTCAAACATAGGACTTTTGGTCAAAAATTCGTGAACTTCAGTTCATGTTCTTAATTCAACCAATTTTGGACCAGTTTATTAGCTCATCCTTTCTCCTAATCCACGATTCTCTATTAATTAATTATCTTCATCACATCAAAAATCAAAGAAAATAGTTCTTCTTCTTCATTTTCTTTTAGTCTTTTGTCAGACATACAGCCAGGTAAGAAAACAGTTTGTTCATCGACAATCTCCCAAAATTACGAAAGAAAAAACACGTTTAATAAAGATTAAAAACACTCAAATAAACCATGTTTTAATCGACGATTCATCGCGAATAAGTTTCTCGACTCACCAATTGCGATGGATAGAGCGAGGAGGCGGCCGGAGACGGCAACAGCGACGTCGTATGCTGATGCACGTGCGTATGATGATGCTGGTGCTGGTGCATTTCGGTTCGCAGATAAGGAGGCGGCGCCACGCCTAGGCTTCTATCTTGCGACGCCAAAAACCTACTGTCCAATTCCCTCCTCAACATATCGGCTTGATCTAAAACGAAAATTATGTTAGAGATTAGAGCAATGGGTCGGTTTTTTTTGTGATGTATTTGTAGCGTAAGGTGCAGTTGTAGATGTAATAGGTGAATGGTTAGTTTATGTAAACTGCTAGTAAAGTTTGAAGAGAGTTCGTTTTGGTTTTCGTTGTAGAATGCAATAATTAACATTAGTTTGGTTGAACTGTCGAAATCTACATTTAAATTCAATTGCAGAATATATTTCAAAATGACTGGGTCTATTACTGAAGGTTTGTGGTCTTCTACGATGCAAAAAACCATTTAAAACTTCTAAAAAAATCTTCATCGTCGGTTAATTCTTCTAATTTCTCCAATCAATCTCTAAAACCTTCTTGAACCGCCTTTGAAAGCTCTTCAAGGAAAGTTCTAAACCCAGTTCAAGGTAGAACCTCAGTTGAACAAAGCACTTACAACCGATCCTAATACAAAAAAAAAAAACTACACCAGTTACTGGTAGGGTACTCACTGGAAGGGTACTTGTTGGTCTGGAAGAGACTCTCGGCGGAGAAGGGATTCGGATTGGCGGGCGGCACCGCCATCGGGCTGGCCCGCGAGACCGGCGGCGGCAGCGGCGGCGGCGCCGCGAATATCGGCGCGCTCGGAAACGACGAGTGCAACGGCGGCGTCGGGCGCGGCGGCGCCGGGCTCAGCTGCGTCGGCGACGCCGCGACGACGGCGGAGGCGGCGGAGGCGGGCGGTTGCGAGGCGTTGCTCGTCCACGGTTTGCTCGGATTATTTGTTGCTAGACTAGAAGACACTGCGGTGGTTGGCGGGGGACAGACGGGCGTCGGCGTCGTCGTCGTCGCGACGCTCGTTCGGCTCAGACTGCTCACGTTGCTGTTAGGACGAATAAATTGAGTAAATCGTACTATGTAAAATATACTGCTCCACAAAAGTTAAGGAAGTTCACAAATATTGAGATTAATTTAGAAGTTGCAGGTGTTTTGATCGCCAAATTTAGTATGAATTGTAGAGGAAGGTCCAAAAAAACCACTCAGAACATTTATTTAAGCATATTTGAAAATTTGGTGATCATAAAGTCTGTAACTTTTAAAATAATCGCAAAATTTGCGAACTTCCTTAACTTTTGTGGAGTATTTTATATAGGCTATTATCAATACATTTTGTATGCAAATAACTTAATTTTATTGACTGGTTAGTTATACTTTTTTGTTATAATTATGCAGATAAGTAATTTGAATTGTAACAAACGTATAAGGAGACATTTAATTAATTAATTATCTTTTATTTGTTCTAACAGATGTTTTGGATTCGTTTATTTAAGGATAATTTAATATCAGAGATAATTACGTTTTTATGTAAATTTTACTATGAAACCATTCGGAGACGTTTTGTAAGTGTACTTAATAAAATTAAGCGGTGAATAACTTTGTTAAATATTTATTCTCACCTACGGCTATTATTTTTTTCCGACGTTCGTTAATAACAATTAATGCGATTGAGAATTATTTATAGCGCGTTTAAAACATTACGAAAGGAAAAAATAAATACTTTGGAATCGATCGTTAAATATTAAAATATTCCATCGTTTGCAGAACAACTACTAAAACATTTTTTATGAGATACCATTAGGCAAATCGCTCTTACACAATAGACAGTTTATAAAAAAATACTGCCGTCGTAAAAGCGGCAAGTAAATAAAAATTCATTACGACTTTTTATGTCTAATTCATTATGCACTTTAGTCGACTATCTATTTTTATTAATGCATCGATTCTTCGACCAACAAATTGAACGAGGAATTCATTCATAATTGAATTTTCATTGAATGATGAACATAAAATTTTATGCTAAAAAATTCGCAATAGTTACCTCCCAAAACCTACCAAATTTCATTTGAATATCTCGTCTGGTTTCAGAGAAAAAAATAAATATATCTTCGATTTTCAAGAAGAAACCTTAACACTCAGTATATCTCGAAAACGAAGCATTTGCGAACATATCTTTATACAGCAAAATATCATTATTTTTTCATACATAACCACCCTCTGAAGTTTCAATTCAAAAATCGATTAACACAAAAAAAAAATTACCTATAACTCTCCCGTTCCCTGTTATCCCTAAGCGGACTGGGACCTCGTTGGGCGGCAGCCATCAGCTTGTTGTCCCTATCGTGGTGCTGCGCCGGCACCGACGCCTTACCCACGACGGGCGCCGCCATTTGCGGCGGCGGCGCCGCGTTCAACGAAGCGGCCGTCGCGACGGCCGTCGTCATCGGCATCGACATGAACGACGCCGTGTGCGACGGAGCAGTAGCCACTACCGTCGTCGCGTACGGCGCGTACAGAGTACTTTGCTGCGAGAAGAAAAAAGATAAACAATGTTTATTACACATCGACTGTTCAATAAAAATAAGAGATTACTGTTTATGGATAATTCAAAAAACATGTATCACTTAATATGCATGCAAACTTAGACATTACTTAAGTTTCTATAAAGATTAAAAAATAAGTTGAGGTAGATGGATCTGATTACATTGTTCTTGAAATTGTTGTTATTTTAATTGTGTATTCATTAGATGTGTAATAAATTTTGTGTTGTAAAAATTTGCTTATTACATTCTGGACGGAATGAAACATTTATGTTTACAATCAGATTTTTCGACAAACCTCGTATACGAATAAAAAAAATTCGATATTTGATGATTGTTTCTACGGTTTCAGATCATGCCGAACTTTTTATAAAGAACAACTTTTTTTCCTAAAATTAATTATAAAAAAAGTTTCCCATATGTTGCCAACTTAAGTATATTCTTTAGTTCGAATTGAGAAAGAGAAAAACGTGATTTACCTGGTGGTGTTGATAGGAGGCGGCCGGATGGTGGTAGTGGCCGGGCGAGGGCGCCACCGCCGCGTTGGCGGACGTCGCCACCGCCGGGCTTTCGGTGCGCATGGCCCGGCCGCCGGGCACGATGTCCGTCGAATCGAGGGCGGGCGGCAGCGACGGGTGGTGGGCGACCGGCGCCGCCGCCGCCGGTTGCGGCATCGACACCGCCGTCGGTACGCCGGGCGGTTGTTGCGTCGCGACGCTCGGCAACGGACACGACGGAGGCGGCAAAGGATCTGCAATGATATCACTCACTCTTTTAGAGTCTAGTCGATACACTACATGGTTTATAACTCGGATATTATGTACAAATGAGGGTTGAAAGGGTGCTAAATAAATGAGGGAAAGAAGAAAGAAAAGAAAATTTTTTTGGGTATCAAAATATACATTACAAATAATATATTTTGTATTGCCACAGAAGAAAATTCTTGTCTTGTCTTGCCTGTTTGAAAATTGTGAAAAAATCTTACTTTTTAGTGTAGCGAGTGTAGTTAGAAAATTACAAAAAAAAGCGGTAAAGTAGACTGGGGCAAATGTAAAAATGGAGTAAATGTTTTATTTTTACCTATTATGTTAATGTTTTTGTATTATTTTTATAGTTCTTTTGTGCATTAGACAGGGTTTGTATCTAATTTTTTTCTTTATTATTTTGTAGCTCTGTTATTTTTTGAAATAAATAAATAAACAGCATATCAAATTTTAGAGGAACCAAATATATATTTACAATTGCCCCATATGTTTTTCTATATAATTGTATTGTACTTTAGAACATATTGTCAACATTTTAAAAAATATGTAAAATCGTTTTCTTCCTTTTTAAAAAAAAAACTTTTTAATACCTCGATTCTTTAGTTTAGGAAGTTGTGAATTTAATGTGTTATCAGCATTTCTAATAAGAGAAAAAATAAAGCCACATTTTAGGATTTAATTTGAACTATTCAAATTTTACAACCGATTTGCCTCAAGTCTACCTTACGAAAAAATTGTTTAAAGCGGGAATTAAATTAAACAGTAGAAATAAGTCGAGCGAGTCTTATTTAGTTAGTAAATCTTTGCCCGCTCTATAAGGAGAAAGAACGCGAGTTGAAGAATAGAAAAAGCCGGTATGTCAACTGCGTTGAACAATTTAAGTATCAAAAGGACAAAAATGTGACTAATGCCAGATTCAACATTCTGATTACAATACCGCATTTGGCGTTAAGTAATTCGAGATAAAACTCGGAGAGAGCGAAATCGGAATGTAAACTGCGCTCATAACAACTAACAACCCAACTAGCATTGCAAAATACAAATATATATATACAGGGTGGCACAGAACTCACGCCCCACCGCATCAAAAAATGGATCATTCGATTCGAACCACTTTTGAAGCAATAAAAAATTATGTAGCTCAAAAAATTCTGAGCTCCTGAATGATCGATTTAGAAGCAACTCTTTGATCAACAGTCGCAGCTGAATTTGGAATCTTTTGTTAACCTTAAAAATGAAAAGGAAATAGAATCTTTCAATAATGTCAAATTGGTGTATAGCTAATTCACGTCATTTTCGTGAAATTGAATTCCTACTGGGATTTGTCGATTTTGAACCTCTTTATTTACCAAAGGAAAAACTTTTTCACGTTTTCGACTGCAGTTTTGGCATCTCCATCGTCCTTTCCATCAGGCATTTCCCGGCGGGTCGTGAGTTCTGGGCCACCCTGTATAAAAAAATAAAATGTGGATATTTCGCGCACTCACCTTTCGAGGATTTGCCGGAGGCGACAGGCGGCGGCGGCGTTAGGACGCCCGCCCCGGAGGAGACCGACGCCGAGGCGATGGCCTGCGGCGGATGCTGGGGCGGTTGTTGGGCGGGGGCGGGCGACGGTACCGGCAAATTGGGCGGCGTCGGCGCCGGTACGGGCGAGCCGCTCGTACCGTGGTTGAGGCTCGGCAGGCCGGGCGGCAGCGCGCCCGGGAATTCATGTTTGCGCGACGCCGGCGTCGACGCGAATATCACCGAACTGGCGTCGGAACCCTATATAGAAATAACAAACAAAAAATATATAATAATGCACGGTAATATCGCAAATATACTGCTCCGCGCAAAAGTTAAGGAAGTTCACAAATTGAGATGAAATTTAAGGTCGACCGCTCACGGAGCAACTGTTTTGAAATAAAGATTTCAATCTAGTTTAGTCTGCAACCAGTTTACAACTAATATTAAACTTCTCTACGCGCACGGATGCGACTATTATAAAATAGTTTCAATCAGTTGACACAGTAATTTATCGAATGTCGAATGAATCACACCAGAAATTGGCAAGAATTTAAAACAACTCGAAACTGCAAAGCGACTGCGACCGCGGTAAATGGTCGGGCACAACTGGTTTATGACTCGTTGCAAAACTAGTTTCATTCGAATCGACTTGTGTGCGGTTCCACACTACTGTACATTGCGCGAGGTTGCAAAATAGTTGCAAGATCAACTGGTTTACAATTTTTATTTTAAGGCCGACTGCTCACGGAGCAACTGTTTTAAAATAAAAATCGTAAACCAGTTGATCTTGCAACTATTTTGCAACCTCGCGCAATGTACAGTAGTGTGGAACCGCACACAAGTCGATTCAAATGAAACTAGTTTGCAACGAGTCATAAACCAGTTGTATTCGACCATTTTCCGCGGTCGCAGTCGCTTTGCAGTTTCGAGTTGCATTAAATTCTTGCCAATTTCTGGTGTGATTCATTCGGCATTCGAAAAGTTGCAGGTTTTTCGATCGCCGAATTTAGTATGAGTTGTAGAGGTTGGGGCAAAAAATTCACTCAAATATGAGGGAAAACATTTAATTTGGCATATTTGAAAATTTGGTGATCAAAAAGTGTGTAACTTTTAAAATAATCGCGAAATTTGCGAACTTCCTTAACTTTTGTGGAGCAGTTTATATACCCTATATGATTACACGTTTATTATTAAAGGATGTACGCCGAACGAATCGATTTTGCTGCATGGATTCAAATAATTGCATAGAATTTATTTACCTCAACTATTACCTTCCTACTATAGTTTTCTTATACACAAATTATAGATATTAAATAATAAAACTCTCCCTATTTTCAACTTTTAATACCAGTAATTTCTTTCGTATCTACATCTATTATAATAAAATACAAAAGCGTGTTATTTCTACAAATATTCGTACAATAAAACCAATAATAGCTTAAACACAAACACACACAAAAAAAGACCTATATGTAACAGGCCGTAACGCGTTCAGACTTCTAGTAGGTAGATTTGTATACCAGCTATTATTACCGAGTCATTCAAAACGGAATTAAAATAAATTACAATAAATTACAAAGCGAAACGATTTATTATTTTATTAATGTCGCGGTCGACCGACGGTAATGGCTGGTAAATGCATTCGCATATAACCCATTACCGAGTTGATTATTACCTTTGTGTTTAGAATTATCCGCTGGATTATGAACACGTATTGTATATGTTTCATATTTCATCGATTTCATATCGAATCAATAATACAATAAAATATAAAATAGGTACATCATTATAGTAAGCGAAAACTGAATCATTTAAAATGTAATATTCCAAGTGTATCAAAGTTCAGGAGATTTCAAAGTCATCTATCAATTCGATTGCTTTACAGAGCGTTAAACAATTCATAACACATTCGCTTCCTAGTATCCTCAAACACTACACGATGCAAAATGCATCCCCTAGTAACGCAAACCGCGCGAGACATTCGAATTAAAATTAACCGGGGGAAACTTGTTTATTCGCGTTATTGTCAATTCAGAGAGCATCAGATCTAATAACCGATGCACACACACACACGATCACGATCTATCCTCCCCTGTACATATTCGTGTGCTCTGCGTCCGTATAATTAAATGACCATCGGTGTTTCGACGCCCTCGATACTTGCTCAGTTTCCGATAATGCAGTTAAATCCCGAATAAAATTATCCAATATTCCCCGAACCGTTCGAACCGTAATCGATTATCGGGGAATTGCTAATGTATTTTACTTCGACGTTAAATCAATTCAATTAGCTTCAAAACGGGCAGTTATACGTTTAAATCAAATCGTTTCAGTCCTACTTCAATACAGAAAACTTGCTCTTGTTTTAAAACGGTTTAGGGCAGTTTTAGAATCATTTAGAGCTGTCTAAAATTATTTAGAAACGTCCAGAATCGTAAGGGACTGTTCAGAATCATATAGAACCATTTTAGAACTGACTAGAAAACTTGCTCTTGTTTTAAAATGGTTTAGCGCAGTTTTAGAATCATTTAGAACTGTCCAGAAACATTTAGAACTGTCCAGAATCATTTAGAACTGTCCAAAATCATTTAGAAACGTCCAGAATCATTTAGAAATATCCAGAATCGTTAAGGACTGTTCAGAATCATATAGAACCATTTTAGAACCGACTAGAAAACTTGGTTAGGGCAGTTTTAGAACCATTAGGAAACTGTCCAGAAACATTTAGAACTGTCCAAAATCATTGTAGTCATCAAAGTATTTTTACAAGTGCAATTTCGTGCGTACGACGCTGTTAAAAACCAACAAAAATTAATAATTATGCGATGGATTACAAGACCGGATGTTTGCACGGCGTTTTGTAGTATGCACATAGGAACATAGTATATGTTTTTTTAATCGTATCTGATACGATAGGGAGAGAGATAAAGGTCTGACGAATGGTCTGGGCATTGATTCGATCGCCTGGCGCGCTAGAAAAAGATCCGTATATACCGAACCGGAAAATTGAAAAGGGAAAAAAGACCCGGGGACCGGCCCACGTCTGGTCGATTATACAACACGCGCATTTACTTTTTTTTTTATTATTATTTTCGTTCAGATAAGAATCGGCCGATTTGTATCGCGTTAAGGAACGATGAAAAATGGGGGCTGTAATCAATTCCGAGGCGTCGTAAACAGACATTAACCGCTTCGAATTACACGAATGTATAATTCGCCCGTTCACCGGGGGATTTAACTCCACTCTCGACTTAATCTCCTATCTACGTTTCACAACTAAAACACACTAATTTACACGATAATTTTATTATAAAATATCGCATAAATTAATCGCAAAAATTTAATCAAAAATGCCGAAAAAGCTCTCCGATTATAGGGCGAGCTTTTAGGACGAGAGGAGCATCTCATCCATGCCCTTGCACATTTTCGCGAGGGGTGGAGATGGTGCAACTTCGTGTAGTAGTCGCGTGTCGGTCGAAAGGCAATAGCATCATCATCGCAGGCGCAATTAAAAACGCGCCGCAAATCGATAACAAAACGCGAAGCTCCGAAGCCGGTGTGATGCTTCTGCTACCGGTTTATATTCCCGCTTGCCTTACAACAACCGCTCCCGTTCTCTCTCTCTCTCTCTCTCTCACGCTCTCCGAACCCCCCATCGTTGCACCTTTTCGTTTAGACTCTATTTCCGTCTCTCGTTCGCCCGTCGGCACTCGAATAGATTCGATTCCCTCGACATTGCAACTCCTGCAGATCTAGGTACAATCTACCGGCTAGTTTTTTTTTTGTTAGTTATTCTCTTTTTATCCCGATTCGATCCACTCTTATAAACAATATTTAGTACGTTATTAATAACTATTAATATCGAATATTTCTGGTGTATAAAAAATCCTTCAACCCAGTAAAAACCGGAATATATAAAAAGAAAGGACTTTTTCCCCGACGCCCGCCTTCGATCCGTATGAATTATTCAACGGCGTTTTTCGGAGGAGGAGGAGAAGATAGAGGGAATGAAATTATGCTCGGATAACTTCAGTCGATGCGATCATTTCGGAGATGCTCCAGAATGTTATTAGTTGTTTGCCTTTTTACACGCCGACGAGCGCCTTGCAACTTTCGGGATTTGTGCCTTGTAAAATAAAAATACCTATTTCGAAATATTGCGAACCGCAAAATAATACACCTAAAGCGAAGCTTCAAAGTAAAATTTTTCTACCGATTATAGCAATAATATTATAAAAGGAGCTTTTACGAAACCCATTATAACTATCTTCATACGGCAATTAAAATTGTAGGCAATCTTCTCATTACTTTTTAAACGATCAATTACCGTCGAAAATTACATTTAATTATCGGCATTAACAGGAAATGTAAATTCGAAAATTGATACATTTATTCCCACAAAACGTTATACCTACACGTGTATAGATAGTTTGATAAATTGCAAAGCCTTTAATTTCCAACTTTATAAGCTTTAATTTCCTCCAAATGGCGAGTGTAATTTACACTCGTTAGGACAGTTCATTAGGTGTAATTATGCCATAACAGCATTAGTTTTATACAAACACAGCGTGTATTTAATGCTACCGATGTGCTAATTAGTCTTCTTGTTGGATCCCATTCAGCCATTTAAAGAAAGAAGGATATCCTATTATTAGATTAATTAATGGTTTTATAGCGGAATAATTACGGACGACCAAAGAGAAAAGAAATTTCCTTTAGCTCTTGGAATTTTTAAAAGGATTCTAGTCGAAAATATATCTGATGAAACACCAATTTATTTATGCATAAAATATTCATCGCAATCGTAGAGATAATGTACAATTGTTCTATTTCTGTACCCTACCATTAAACAACAAAGGGAACTTTAGAATGTAAAAATACACGCACTTATTTATAATACGAATTCAAGTCTCGAACAGATGGATTTTCGTTCGAGGGGACGAAATACATTAGAAGGAATTTATAAATAACTTTTATGTAGAGCAACATGTACCAATAATTAGTAACATATTCATGCTAAAAAGTATTAGTTTTTGAGTCTCCCAATATTCCTCCCTACTAAATTTAACAACCGGAAAGATAACTAATTTTAAACAGGATTTTTTTAACGCATAATATACAGTTAGATCCGAAAGAATCACACCGATACTATACAGCAGGGCGATTATGGGGTTCCCATTCATACAAGGGGGTACCCTATAGCTCGTCCTCTCCCGCATCCTTGCGAACAGTCCTTTTTTTTATAATCCATTGTTCGC